GGGGGGGGGGGGGGGGGGGGGGGGGTAAGGAGAGAGCGGTGCCCTGCCGGCGGGGCGGGGCGTACCTACGTTTTCCATGCCTTTTGAGTCGTTAGACCTTTGACCACGCGGCCTGGAGAGAGCACTGTTCCCACAGGATGGATCGGTCACCGATAGCCAATCGTTCCTTCCGGCCAAAGGTGGCTCAAAATGTCTCCGTATCTTATCGACGTATCGCTCCTCGCCTTTTCAGCCCACTTCTGAAGGGAGGGGCGCACCCAGCGTGAGAGAGCACCAATTGACAAGGCCGCCTACAAGTATGCATACGTCGCAACTGCTATAATAGCTCCAGAGTGGATGATCACCATCTTCATGCAGTTTTCCTAAAAATCTGCATGTTTATTTCTACCCACGTTTATAGCAGAAGCAGAAAAAAAAGCAACACAAATTGTTTGAAGGTCTAAATATACAGGCGAAGAACTTCCAGGGGGAGGTGCGTATCTACAATACACTAGTACGTAACTGATACAGTGTAGTGTCTCCGGTCCGAGCAAAAACGCCTGAAAGCTATCTACCATGCATGCAAGGGATCTGCTGAGTCAGCCGGCAATGTCCCGGAGAAGAAGAAACCTCTGATAAAACCGCCGTGTTCAAGTAAAAACACTTTGATTACAACAAACACCCAACACCAGCCAGTAGTGGAAATCACGAGTTTCATGTTTTTGACTTCATTTTGCACCCTTGTTGCTAAATACAACAGCAAACAAGCGTCACCCCTACCTAGCCTTGCACAACTAAACAGCGTATACAGAGATTCGCAGAATCAACGTCACATGTGCACGAGTCCAGCTGCATATCTGCTGTCGGTGCAAGAAAAGAATCCTGTATCCGGCCGTTTCAAGTTTCAAGTACAACTTCAACAGAGACGGCAAGGACGTTTATTTTTTGAAGTTGTCGGCTGGGCACCACAGCCTCTTCTCGGCGCAAAATAGGCTTGGGAAACCAGACCCAATTAAGTCCAGCGTCGACCAAGTGCCCCTCGATCCTCACCGCAGAGAGTTCGACAAATGCCTCCGGCGGGGTACTAAACTACATATCACAAGTAAACGCGTAGTCTTTCTCTCACGATGCGACGTGGAACCGAACATGCGACGTGGAACCGGACATCAATTCTCTAGGAGCGAGAGGACGCGTACGTCGGAATCAGCTGCTCAGAACTGCCGGGGAGAATATTCGAATGCGTGCCTCGTGTGCCTGCTGCAACTAACGACCGACCGAACAAAACCGCTGTTGAATACTGCTGTCTCCTCTCTTAATACTGTTGACTGCGGTGCCTCTGCTTTCAAGCGCCCGAATTGTGCGTGTGCAAAAATGGAGGACAAATCCCTGATCCGTGCCTTGAAAAAATGCGAAGGGCGGTACTTGTAGGCCTCACATCCACACGCATGGGTGCTCGCACATGACGTATAAAGACCAACGGCGAAAAAAGCCCGAGGAGGCCCCCGAACGAAAAACTCGCGTACACAAGGAAGTCACGGCCTGGCTATAGCAGAGACAGTCGTGGGTATTCTGCAGAGAGAGAGCCGCGAACGAAACTCCAGTGCACGACGAAACAAAGCGTTGGCCGTGCTGTAGACCCCAACCGTTTGGGTGGAGCACCCAGGAAAATGGGGGCGGACGGTGCGCATTTCTGCCCTTCTTCGTGATTTGGCGCCTTGAAAATCATCTTATAATTGCCCTAAAGCAAGCAAGCGTTGCCTTCGTTTTCGCAACTCACCTGACCCAAGTGCGGCATCGACACGACCGCTGCGCGAGCCGGCCCTCCACAAGACGAGCGGGGCGGCCCTCCAGCCGCGCTGGGCGCCGCTCCGCCACCTCCCACTGCAGGCGGCGCCGGCCCCATCGAACAAAAAAAACCGCCCGCCTGTGGGCCAAGTAGCAGCAGAAACAAGAATCGGAGACAAAAACATGGGGCGACAGGCCAATGGCGACACCGCAGGCAGAGACACTTCCGTATCTTCATGCGCGACTTGCGGGTAGCACGCCCCGCTTGCAGAGCGCCGACTCGCTTTATGCGCAGAGGGCCTCGCGCTCGTTCCCGAAAGCAAAACTGCAGGTCTGAATCTGTCTGCGATGGTCGTCGAGTTTCCCTGCGTATTACGCCTACCAGCTTGGTGTGCCGATACACACCCCATCTTGAAAAGAGACCAAGAAAAACAAGGTAGGCCGCCGCAGCCACCCTACCTGCATCGCTGCAAGAAGGATGACAACCCCCGACATGCATCGCCGTGCTTGCCGATCCATCGCCATGGGTATGCTAAATACGTCGGGGGTTGTGGGCGGGAGGTCGTCCTATTGGCGTTCTCTTGTCGTGGTCGCAAGACACACACACGTTTGCCTTTAGACTTTTTAGCAGTTGGAGTTCGCCCTTCTTGGGACACGTGGGAGGCAAGACCCGATAGAGCCGGTTGAAATGCCGAAGGCGTTATTACAAGGAGGGGACACTGCACATACAAACTTCAAATTTCCTGAAAGATCTTTGTTGACATCTTTGTTGACATCTGTTTGCAACAACTACACCGGCACTACACACATGTATCATCCCGGGTGACGCCCGGCGCGCCGACCCTCAGCCCTACTTCTTGAGCGTGCTTGTGCTATTCTCTCACAGCGGTCGGTATACATAGCTCACGAAATCCTAGGCCTACTTCGCCTCTTCTTGGCGGAGACCGCGCCGCGTCACAACAAAAAAAACAGTCACAGGAGAGGAGGGACTGCAGCATGCATGCACAGTTGGGAAGAACACAGATAGGATGGAGCACGACGTTGTACGACAGAAGAAGCTGGATGGAGGAGTACATTTTTTTTCTCTCTGGAGTGAAGGACTGACTGCTTGATGGAGCGAGAAATAATAAAGTGCTTCCAATTTAAATGTCTGAAGAAACGCTGACGGCGGTGGTTGGCGCTATGCACCCGTAGTATTTCTAGAGAGAGAGGGCCCGTCCTGCGAGAGACTCCAAGCATCGCACAAGTAAAGAGTGTTGTGTCGGGGCTCGTGCTGGACCCGCCCACGCATGCCCGAGCAGTTCGTGCACAAGATTCGAATGTTTGGGCATCTCGAGTAGTACCTGGCTTCACTGATGATGACCCAAACGATTTGTACGTTAACCCACACGCACACACACGTACGTACGACGTGCATCCATCCGTGAAGGGAGGGTTTCATCGCCGCAGTCGCATATACGCATACATAGGTAAGTACGCGAAGGGTTCAAAGCGACGACCGAACGAACCCGATAGGCAAGGATTGCATGCATACATACACTGATCTGAGATTGTATGTTTCTTAAATTGGGACAACAGCGGTGAACCGGAACCCCAGCCTTGGTTTTGATTAAATGAACGCGACGAAGACCCTTCCTCGACTCTAACGACTCGCATCGACGACACACAGCTGTCGCCAAAAGCTAGCTACGGTTGGACACCTTTAGGAGGCGCGGAAACAACACCAGCTGTCCGGACACTTTTAAAGATTAAGAAACAGCGGCGACACTAGCTGGCCAATCCTCGATTTCTTTTAATGTGCCACGAAAACCTCATCTTCGTGAATGCAACCAAGCCGTAGCATAGGTCTCATGTTCCGCCGTTCATAGATGATAGTGAAATCTCAGTCAGCATTGCATGGAGCTTCTCTTCTTCCTCCTTAGGACGTCGTCAAGGACGTCACCGAGAGTAGGCAGGCTCTGCCGCTCGAGTTCTTCTCAACCAGTCATCGCGTGGACAGAGTGCACCACTCAAAAGAGGAACACGTGACAAAAATCCGCACGACCCCCCTCATCGTGAAATTAACAACATCGAAGAACAGAGAGAAGGGCGGCCGCGGGGTTTCCTCCCTCAACGTTTGATACCCAAACAAAACAAGTGGGTGGACTGTTCTTCCCCGGTTCATAAAAAATCGTCAACCCTACAACTTCATTCCCCAGAATAAATCTGCATGATTTCTCGATGATACTGTAACCCCCCCAAAAAACAAGCAATTCCTCTTCGATAAAAAATGATCGACAAGCCGACACTAGCTGGCTTGTCTGTTGCCATATGGGCACTAACTGGTGAACGATACAATAAACCGCCATTACGTGGAGTCTGTCTCTTTAATTCCACCAGGTTCTGCTCAAAATCCGCGCCATACGCACGCTGGGTCAGCAGCAGTAACATGACACAAATATTTTGCCTTCGATCAACGGCAAGGCTTGGGTGGGGGGGGGCGTGGGGGCTGCGTGCGCTTCGCACCGCACCCGACACACTCCCAACAAAAAAAAACGGCATAATCTATACGACGTTCTTGGCATACCTTCTCCCGCCAAGAACCTATCCCAGCATATCTGACTACATGCAACGCGAAGTGACGCATCCGGCTCATTCCATCCACATCAAAGTACTACCTACTTCGCAGTGGCGCCGCGATACCTCCCCTTTCCGCTCTAATAAGTTCATCCTTCAGCGCCGTCGTGAGGTAGCTGTTCAACCCACCCCCCCCCAAGGTCAAAAATACATCAACCACTTAACTCAAGCTGCCGAGTTTAGGGATGATCGATCCATCCATGTCACACGCCTGTCAGACCAACAGACCCGGCTCAACTCCTCGACAACAAGTCGAGAGGTGTCGCACGGGTAATCAATCGCACTCGATTCATCTTCCTCTCTAGTTCTGCTTGGACTTGAGGTATTCCGCGAACGAAGGCGCGGCGGAGATGGACTTGCGGGGGTCCTCGTGGTCCAAGGCGTCGGGGTCGCGGGTGTCTGCCATGCCGCCGGTGCCGATGTGCTTCTCGCCGGCCTTCACAACAAAAGCAGAGAAGGAAACGGGGACGAAGGAATGAGATTGGACTGCTCGAATACGACATGACCCAGGAATGAAAGGGCAACAATTAGGTCCTGCGTTTTCGATCTGTGGCTGTAGATAACTCGCTCAAAATCGACGACGAAAATGGTGGGTCTCGAAAAAATATTTTGTTTCTACGGTTCCTATGCTGCTGCTAGCCGCCTCTATTTAGCATCGACTTTTGCAATAGGGGCACACGCAATACGCAACCTTACTATGTTCGCCAGGAACAAGTTGAGATTCCTTGCCCACCAAAGTCAAGCACTGCATGTTCCATCTCGTCAACAAAGTGCCATTGTGCACCACATACCTGAGCCGCTGGGGGGGTGTAGGCCGGTGCAGCCGCGGCGGGGGGGCTGTACGGGGCCGGGGGGGTGTACGCCGGGGCGGCCGCGGCGGGGGGAGCGTAGGCCGGGGCGGCGGCGCGCGCGCTGTCGGTGCGAAATGCAGACGGTGACGTTGGAGACCAGAACACGGCAAAGAAGGCAAGGTAGCAAAAGACGGAAGGCAAACAGGAGCAAACCACGGTCAGAGATCGACTCCGAGCAGTGGGAGTAGGCTAGGCGAGGAGCGTGGCATTCATGTCCGTGTCTTCCAGCCACACAGGCCACGACGCATGTCACACACACGGGCCCAATGATGCAACTTGTGCTGGCAGTGGGTGAGTCGACCAATGGACCCACACGGGCGAGGCTAACCACTTGTAGGAAGCTCAAAACCACAGGCGGTGCGGTGGTGCATGCCTTCTGCCCTACTTGTACACTTAAACACACGCAGCAACGGTCAACCCTGGAGAAAACAAGCGACCGTAGAATAAACCAACGCGACTTCGTGCAGCCTGCATCCAATGGTACTCACGTGGGCGGCCGGGGGGAGGCGGCAGCGGGCGCGTAAGAGGGCTTGGACGAGGCCTTGGCCGACTTCCAGTCAGCCTTGGGCTGCCACTTGGATCCGCCGCCGGAGGACGCGGGCGACGAAACCGCGGAGCGGGCGGGGCTCGACGGTGCTGCGGGGGCGGGCGCAGGGGCGCTGCTGCCTCCGCCCCTGTGGAAGTAGAACGGGGGATCGACATTCAAGCACGCGGTCGAAGGTGGATGGGTGAGAATCCCGAGGGTGCAGGAAAACCCCTCGCAGCGCTGCTGTGGTTGGCGCTCCACAACCCATTCATACGGCAGAAATAAAGGGTACGTAGGTATTTTACCCAATGTGTTGAGATAAACTGCGTAAGGAACTTTGTTGGACAAAACTGGTGTGCAGGTAGGTTGTCATTAAAACGCACGTCCGGCCCTTTGAGGTGCGGCATGCTGTTGGGTCATCCCGTGCAACTGCAAAATGCGAAAGAGGTAGCTGCCGGCCCAATCCTTTACTCCGCGGAGTAGATATACTACTGACTGACGGTAGCCTGTACCAAAAAGCTACAGATATGACTCCAGCACTACTATAATATATACACAGCAGACGACAAAACAACGCCTGTTCTCAAGCTAACCATGCATCCCGCTGGGATAAATGGATGAAAAATGCCCTGGCAAACCAAGACAAGTCCCCGAGATGATAAAAACAAGCGCAACCAACTTACCTCGACGCCATGTACTCCTCGTACGGGGAAAGGTTCAGCTTGAAGACGTCCCCGCGAGCCTCTACCTGCGGACGCGGACGACAACATATGCAGGGAAGAGCGTATGACATACAAATACACTAGGGTAGGTCCGAAATGCAAGTGGCTGCTGGAAACGTGGCACCCATGACGTAGGGAGGCAAGCACACTCCTGTGTACAAACCCGCGCGGAAGCTGATGCGTGAACCTCGCCAGTGTCGTTGGGGTATCACGACAACCGTTTGTTGGTGCATAGTACTACGAAAAACATGGGCAACAGCTGGGAAGTTTCATGCATTCATGCTATGCGTATGATATCATGCGTGGCTTGAGGCACACGAACATGTTGCACATATGCATACGTCGACACATCGAACAACCTCGTGACGCCCGTCTACGTAACCATCGATGTCATCAACCGACTCCGAAACAGGAACCACGCATGCACACGATGACCCAACCAAAGACGTGTGGAAGCCGAGACGAGAGTCAATTGTGCTAGCGTCATTGATGGACAAGAGGTGTGGAAGACTGCACGCAGCCGAACTGCGAGCAGCTGGAATAGATCGGCATCTACTCGCATTTCTGTGACCCCAGAAAGACAGCAACTACCAAATACCACATGTGGACTTCCTTCCTCGCCGTACATGAACGATGGACAAGTCGCAAAACGGCACTTGTTCATAGAAAGCTCGGATTGCTGAGAGGTGTGCAGAAGAAGTCATCTCGCTGAACGTTCAGCTCGCGTGTTCAACGTTCTAGAACACCCAGCGTTGTAGTTACGTACAAGCTGTGTCATGTATTCAAGAAACAAAATGCTGCGGATGGTATAGATGCGTACGAGGCCGAAAGAAAAAAAAGAAGACAAAAGCGCCAACGTGCGTGTGCGGATTCGTGTCGCGGACCCTGGGCTGGTACGCGTACGTGTACTAAAGCGTACAAAACCAACGAGTGTGCTAAGTGGGTTCACGCATGCTGGAGTAGCTCACGGTCTTTTCTTCCTGCGCTCCGGCGTGAGAAACGGGTATCCCATGTCTTTGTTTCCACACTCTGTAAACACACACGTCATGCGCTCGGCGAAACTATTTCGCTTGGTCGCACCCGCGCATGCACGCCACACACCAGACTGCCTGCATGCTTCGGCTTGAAAGTACGTATCACACTCGGGTAGGAGTACTCACGTCGGAAGCGAGGGCGGGTGGGCGTCTATACGCTACCCTAGGCGCGTGCTCGCGACTGATACTGGTATATGTCGGCTGTGCGACACACGCAACTGTTTGCGAGGCCCGTTCACTTCTTTTTTCGCGCAAATATCGACCCTCTTGCTGCTATGGAGTTCATTGCGCCAAACCTCACCTTGTTTCCCGCAGACACCTTTCCTGCTGCTGCTGGTGCCACCATGAACGCATCCGCCTGCTACCCGTAAGCCGTGAGCGAGAGGGCAGAAGCGGATGCGGTTATTCATCGTACACGTATGTTGTGGGATTGACTGACGTAGGGTCCGCCAGCGAGCGAGTGACTCGACAAAAACAACAGCACGAGCACATTGCACAGCGTGGAGAAAAAACACGCACACCAGCCACACCAGTATCCACGCATGCGCCTGCATGCTACCAACGAGTTGCGTGGTGCAGCGCCGCCTTCATCCACACGTAGGCGTATCACGCACGCGGCAGCGAACATGCGAACGTCAGATGCTGAGTACACCGACAGAGAGCGAGAGTATGAGCGCCAAGTCCAAGCAGGAGGAGATAGCATGTGTGGCATGCAGATGAGACGCAGACCAGACGCACCTGGATTGCCGCCGCGAGCAGCAAGATCACCGCCGACAGGTAGCTCTTCGTTTGCCCGTTCATCATCATAGTTGTGGTAGTGGGGTTTGTGATGGGAGAGGGAGGTAGCCCGGAGGTTGTGTGCGTACAACGGAGTGTGTTGATTGTGGGTTGTAGCGGGTGACGTGTGTGAGCGGGTGGGGTGGTTGGCAACCCGAAAAAAAAATGGCCAAGAAAAAATCACGCACCCCTATTAAAAATGCCTATCGTCCCCTGTTACAGCAGAAGAGGCGTTGTCTGACTTTTCAAGAGGTGACGAACGAGAAAGATTCAAGGGCCGGCGGACTGAGCAAAGGGGCAATCCCAAGCCCCATTTATGGGTGATCATGCCACACACGGCTACGCGGGTACACTATTGGCGAAGTATTCCGCCATGTGTCCTTAGGGGGCGAAAAATTTCGCATGCACCGGGACCGTGTTGGACATCGTTCGTGCACATAAATGAACATGTGTCGTCGTCATCAGCGCACATACAGCGCTCTATCTTCCGCCGCCGTTCATGCGTCCCTCCAAGCAAGCCGGGTATCGTTTGGGTTTATCATGCATGCCAAACATTGGGGTCCCATTCTGCGCATCAGAGAGGATAACGTGCGTATGCTTGCGCATGCGGTTACCACCGCGCTCAATCCCGTGCGTGTTGACATTCAACTCACCCGAAAGATTGTTGTCTTCCCTCACTCGTGTGTCCCCACAAGTGTCCCACAAGAAAAAACAAACGTGTACCGATCGCGGTGAATCTCTTCCTGTTGAGTCTACGTATGTATCCGGACAGATCCTAGGCTGAATACTACGAATGCTTTGGGCTACCGCTTGTGGGTATTTGGGTTCCTCCCATATACTCTGGTGCCAGCTTACCCACCGTTCGGTGTGTACGGCGTATATCTGCCGGGGTCACACACCCCTACTACTCTAGGGCGCGAGCTTGCAGAGTTTTTTTTTATTTTTCTTAATATGACACAACGAAACCATCTCTATCATAGAAAAGAGTCTGAGACAGATTAGCAATGGATTCATAGCGTCAGAAAGTACCTGTATGTCTACGATTTCCCAGACAGCATATAGGGACATCTCCCCTTTCGTTTATCGTCTTCTACACTAATAATGGGAGGATATACCTCACGCAGTTAGACGTCCGGAAGTTGCTCGCTAAACTCGGGGCATTCTACACTCTCGTGGTCATCTCCATGTAGGAGTTGGGAGGAAAGGGAGGGGCGGTAGTGGCACTAAAAGCGCCATGATTGTGGACAGAAAATGCAAAAAAAGCAGGATGCTATGTAACAGCATTGGCTTGTTTTACAACGTCGTTGCCAAGCGACGAAAACCCAAACCCCGATGGCAAACACCGGGGGGGGGGGGTTCTCACCGGACCAGGCTCTCACATCACCAAGCGCGAAGCGCCGTGAGGTATTTGGCGATTCGCATGAATGGTGAGCTGCATCCTGCTAAGGGTTTTCGGCATCTTGTGCTTACTTCCTTGCGCACGGATGACAGCTACGTATGACTTAATTTATTTTCTGGTGCTTTCTCTTCCAGAGACAGTTGTAAGCACTGTGTAACTGCCTCGAGGAAGCTTGACCATTTTAACACAA